CACACAACCACCCCAACAAAAACCACAACCAACAAAACCACCCCAAACACAACCAAACAAAACACCCCCACAACCACACCCCCCAACACACACCCCCCCACCCCCAACCCACCAACACCCCCCCCCACCCCCCCACCCCCCCCCCCCCACCCAACCACCCAACACCAACCCCCACAACCCCACCCCCCCCCCCACAACCACCCCCCCCCCCCACCCACCCCCCCCACACCACAACCCACCCCAACCCACCACCCCACCCCCCCCACACCTCCCCCCCCCCACCCCCCACCCCCACCCAACCCCCCCCACCCCCCCCCCCCCCCATCCCCCCCCCCCCCCCCCCCCCCCCCCCCCCCCCAAATTTTAATTCCACCGGTTGTGTTTCCGTGTGTCTCCGTCCCTGCTGTCACACCCCCCACTCCCCCTACCACAACACAGTCTCACCCCCCCCCCCCCCCCCCCCCGGGGGGGGGGCCCCCCCCCCCCACCCGATGGACGACACTGGCAAGTACACATGTATTCACATGCATGCATACGGTCGTACCACACCCATGTGACGGGGCGAGACCTTTTGAGATAGACCGACATCTACTATTGGACAGTTAGTAATTTAGTGCGATCTACCTCACATCCGAAGGAGGGACCCTGTGTCCCGTATTAACAGAGTAGAGGGACCAGACTTTTGGGACAGGCTGTAGAGTATGGTATTATGAGAGGCAATTACAACAAGGAAAAATGCGAGGGTGTTTGCGTCTAATGCTGGATACCAAGAGTTTGATTTTTGTCGACATTTGCCCCCTCATCTTTGATAACGCACTATGACACACAGATCTGTAGCGCATATTTCAAGAGGAACCGTATCATTCAGCCAGCCACCTGCGTCTTACTGCTTATTTGCCGTGAGTGGATATAACGCTCGTTCACCGCAGTTCACTGACTTTCAACTCGCTTATAGTTCACTAACGTGATGTTGTATGATGTGAACTGGAGTTGTCACTTCTGTGCATCCGAAACCATTATGCTGACATTCAAGGAGAGAGGATGGCGTTTATACGAAAGTGATGTCGTTGGGAGGTCGAGCATATTGCTTCAGGCTTGTCATTGCCAGGCGACTATAGTGCATCCGGATAAATCGTAGCAATCCGCGTGGCAATGACAGTGTAGTGATATTTGCTAGACCACGTTGTTAAGAGTATTTGCCTGGTTGACTGGTGACCTCAGCTGTGTAGCCAATTGCAGCCATCACGGAATACCTTAATGCACCGCTCACATTGAGCGCACGGGCGTTCTCATCTGTGTCTATGGTACGCAGCTATTCCTGCATGTATTGGTAGACGCTGGTGTCCTTTGGTAGCGTTCATTCAGGTGCGAATGTAGTCGCCAGCACGTTTCATCAATTGGCCATTGATTCAGCAGTGCCGTAGATGAAGTAGTTGACGGCCGGGACTCAACACACGAACAGACTCACACACCATGCACACGCTCGGTTTGTGTCTGCGAAATACGATACTCTCATGTATGACCGACCACAAGAACCGCACTGACTTCAACCACAATGGCAGCTGCAGTGCCGCATGGGGTGGCGGACAACATACTAACAGATCGTTAGGGAATTAAGCCTTGTCCATACTGCGGAAACATGGAACATCCACGCACAATTACCGTGGGCAAGAACTGAGGCAGTGCAGCTAACACAGTGCATTAGACATGATGTTTCACTTTACAGACCAACTAGCTTACCAGGAGAAGGGGGCGGTGAGGAAGGATAATCTATTCCGTGAAGAGCAGTGCTTACGTACTACCTAGGCTCAAACACATCAGAGAGTTGCGATGTTTAAAAAACCCGTTCAACGAGTACAGCGTACTTACGTAATTGCTGTGTACGAAATCCAATGTTAATCGACCTTGAGTAGGGCTTGAATCGGTCCGCCTTATGCAAGCCACAAGTAAATTAGGTTATCACCTCCTGCGTTTGCTTACTGTAAAGGAAAACTGCCGCTAACGAATGGTCCGTTTCGCATTTGTTGTAGTGCTCTTTCACACGGATTACCGTAGCAAACTTCACTGTACATAAACTTTACTATATCCAAAGTTCTATAAAGCAAATTCCAGGAACAAGTTCAATCTCTCTACTATCGTTGCCACTATATTTTACTGACGGAAAACGTTGCGGGTGTCAGTTACTTAGCTTACTTCAGCAACCTTATCGCAACTGAAATGAATTCTGCACTTACGGCTCCCAAAAATCCACATACAACTGGGAATTCGTCATTCAAACACGCCATGTCAAAGCAAGTGGTATCCCAGAAGATGTAGTGTCCAAACAGCGTACATGGTTTCTGAGATGATTGGTAAAATATGAGAGGTTCAGACTGAGCTGATCCTGCTTAAAGCAACATGTCTCCTTTTCCAGCGGCTGACACAATACAAGATGAGGGCGTTTACTAATAGCTGTCCACAGTAAATATTGTATACTCTTAAAGTTATAGTATAGCGGCTGACATGCACCAAAGAGTAATCAGTTCGCAAAAGTCCGATCATCTTCAGTGTCCTAAGCATTCACCTGCGCCTCGTGGTTAAGGGGTAAAATGGAGTTAATCGCTTGTGCCCTGTCGTATCTAAGGAGGCACGGATTAAATCACCCAATGTAAATTTGCAGGCGCGTAAACCGCTTGTCTTTTCCGGAGGTAATTCTTCACATTCCACTCCCAGTCAGCAAACTTTGGCAAGTCGGGAAATGCATCAGGCGGCGCTGTTTCGACCTTTTGTGCTTTGTTATCGGTGCGTTTTCCAACGGATCCTTGCAGAATTTCAACAGCAAGTCTTCCAGATGCCAGCAGTTAGTGCCGCTAAGCCCCGGTTGACAGCCGCATGCCTCCATGGTTGATAGTTGACTATGCTATGAAGAGTATTTTAATGGCGGTAAGTTATGCTCTTCATGGTTAATACAATCGGAGAGGAAACTTTTTCTTTTTTACTTCTGTTAAAATTAACCTCTCAACTTATTCTGCCTTCGTTTCATGAGATGGCGATAATCGTAGACGGGAGTTTATGAACCGGATGCTCTAGCACGACATCGCTCCGATTATACTAAAAGCGCAAACCATGCATTCTAAGTGAGTTTAGCCTATATGTTAAGTAGGGTAATACACAGTTTAATTTTCTCTATTGACCTACGTCATGCAATGTAGGCGTAGGCCGTTCTTGCATTGTTAAGGTTTAGACAACTTTTTCTACGTCACGCCTTACTTTGATGCTGAAACGACGCAACCTTCAAAGTTGGCTGTGCTTTACGACTCCTTCCTAGCACACATGTTTTCGGTTTTTATTTAAATTTCCTTGCTTTTAACCCTTTAAGTATCCCTGTGTAATTGGTATCATGCTAGTTTATGCGGGTGATATTCGAGCATCTCAGTAGTACAGAGCTCACAAGCAACGCATTTCTTAAGGATCACATTAGGAGCAAAAAACGGAAAAAGTTAAATTATTCGCAGTAGTAAAACAAGAAAGCAGCTTGCTGGATGATAGATTGCTTTTCAGAAGTATGAAGTGCTTGCATTGATCAAAAAGTCATTGGCATGGGTTGATCAATCTTGGTTTTACCGAAATTTCTTGTACATATTATTAAAACCTCTGCGTGTCAAGTGCTTAGTTTGTGTAAGCGGATGGCACTCATTCTGGCTCGCCAGCAAACGCATTTCCTGCTTGTATGCGAAACCAAAAGCAGAAGAATTTTACGATCCTTTAACAACAGCCGACACAAAACACACCGGTCCACCACCTTATATATTTAGTGATTTCTCACTAAATCCGATGCGGCCCTGGACCAGGCACCTATCAATAATGTAAAACTGCACTCAGTGTGTAAACTAGTGTTGCTTGGCAACTCTGAATAACCAACTGTAAGGGTGTACCCTCGAGTGTAATATTAAAAAATCGATATAGATCCTACTCGTTGCAACAATCGAAATTTAGCCGGCAGTAATTTTCCGAATAGAAAATTGACCTACTAAGAAAAAAGCTTAGCATCTAATCAGGTCAGTTTATTTTTGGCGCTGATGGGTCTACGTATCTTTTTTTTGTCATGCTACGCGAAATTTTGACTTTGCATTTTCCGCTCACGCAAAATTTATTCATATGTAGTGACAGGTTCCTTTTCCCCCGCTAGAAGCGGCTGCGTAAATGAAAGGAGTAAGACTTCAAGAATGTAGACTATACTATGAATTACCTATCCATGCTCAATGAGAAGGTGTTACGCCGATTCAACCATGTGACAGTTCAAGTAATACTTGGGGATAGTAGCTGTCGTGAACTCTGGAGTATGTTGGGACCATTAAGCGTGGTTAATCAGTGTGCATCGACCTCTGACACAGTTGCGGATAAAAATCATAACTTCTATTATCATCTATTACCAGGCCCATTCCTTGCCTAGCCTGCATTTTTTGTAGGCATACTGACCCATGGCGATAGCAAAACTGCATGCATAGTACCGAAGCGATTACACCCAGTAAAAGCGTGAGGTCGAGATGGACGGCCTCTCGTTTTTCGGAAGGTATGTGCCTACTTTGTGACAAAACCACTGGGTATATTAAATAACTCAATAAATAAGCAAGCATTTCCCGACTGCATCTATTGATTACAAACTGCGTACAAATAGCGTGCCATCAGAACAATGGCGGGATAAGAAAACAGGAGTAGCGTAGAGGAAGAAAGAAAACAACTAATATTATCTGTCCGATTTCCCACGCGCACATTCTGAGTTTGCGTTGTTTTTTATTGGGACAAGAAAGCGGAATCATCACAACAAACAATCATACAGGACCATTAATGAGTTCGGTTTTGTGCCATGACTCCCAATATTTCAACCAGCGGCACTCAGCATTTTTGGGACCCCATCCAAGAATCCAGAAGAACCAACCGGGACCGAAAGTTTCGTCAGCTTTTTTATCCTGCTACTCCAAATTGTGCGCTGCCCACCACGTCGCCTTCTCTAGCACTGCCAAGCGACCGTGAACATGAAAGGATACAGAAGACACTGAACGGGCATACGCAGTATGTTTCCAAGCCATCGGATTTGGCGCAGCGAGACAGGCACTTTGAGGAAGTGGCAGCTTCACCCAAAACAAACTGGCTGGCTTCAATCTTGGTTACGTGGTACAGCCACCACACTCGGGCGATGGATCGCAATCAACAGGTACTCGAAGACAGACAGTCGGCCCAGATCATCGGTACGAACAGGCCAAGTCACGCAACCGTAAAACAGTACAGCGCGGACGGTTGCATTATATACCCTCCCTTTGATGGAGAGCCGGATGTCATGGCGGCGCCATAAATACCTCAGTCTGGCGAAGGCGAGACGAGAGCTTGTGATGCTCATCGAAATTTCTTTTCCAACATCCCCACTAACAGTGATGCAGCCTAACAAGTAGACAAAACTGTACAAATTCCAGCCTCTCACCATCGTTGGAGAATGTAGGTAGGAGCGTATGCCAGTTTTGAAAAAATCCCTCCGCCGC